ACGGGTCGAGGGCCCCGTGCCTACCAGAAGCCGCACGCGGCGCGGCAAGGGCCCCTCCAGACCCAAGCAAGACATGCCGCCAGGGTTTCGAGCCGTCCCCAGCCGTGGCCACCGCCCAAGGCACCGTGCACACGGCGAAGCTGCTCGCACCGGTCACTGGCGCCGAGCGCCGCGTGGCGCAGCTGCACCTACTGCTGCTCGTAGCCCTCGGCGTCTGCACGCCGCCACTGGTCAGGCGGCCGCGCGGTGGTGATCGTTTTCTTATCCATTGTTTTGCCGATCGACGCGGACCCTCGTACGCCCCACCTCCCCCATCATTTCGAGTGCTCTTGGCTGTTTGGGGCGCCTGTTTCGAGCAGGTGGAGCCCCTCCCCCATAGGACTGTTGCAAACAGTCGAATGAAACACAGGTCCGGAGCCAGCCCCCCCCCTTTCCCCCCCCCTTCCGCCCCATGTCGAAACGCCGAATAAGAAAACGCTCACGTGGCCAGCTTCTTCTCCTGCTGCGCTCCCGTGCAGGCTTCGGCAGACCCCAGGGCGGCCGCGTTCTGCAGCGAGTGGCCCCGCGTCGTCGCGCGGGTCGCCTCCCTCGCCGCAGCCCTCGCCGACTCGATGGGGTCCTCGACGCGGCCCTGCACGGGCATGAGATCCGCGGCGCCGTCGAGCCGCTCCATCTTGGGCCTGCACCGCGCCAGCGCAGCCTTCTCGAGCGCCACGTCCAGCCTCGCCTGCAGCGCCCGCGCCCCAGCGCCGGCCTCCTGGACTTCTCTGCCAGAGCCCGTCCAGCTTCGCCTGCAAACGCACTTGCCCCGTCTACGGCCTCGTGGCGTTCAGCCGGAGCCTCGTCCAGCTTCCCCCGCAGCGCTCCCGCGCCAGCTCCGGCCGCCCGCAGCAAGGCGTCGCCCGTGTCGAGCGCCATCTGCTGCCCCCGCTGCCCCGCCTGGGCCGCCGCGCGGTGCCTCTCGGCGGCGACCGCGCTCGCAGAATGCGGCCGCGAGGGACGCGCCTCGGCGGCGACCGCCCCCGCGGCCGAGGCCTCCGCCTCGGTGGACCCTGCGCGGAGCTGCCCCGAGCCTCCCCCAGCCTCGCTCGCGGCGCTCCCGCGCCAGCTTCGCGGTCCGTCTCGTCGGGGTGGGGCCCGCAGGCTGCACCGCCGCCTCCCGCCGGCCCGGGCAGGAGCCGGCGGGCAGACGGGGCTTGCCCACCTCGGCTCTGGCCCGCGGCCGCTGCGACGGGCTTCGGAGGGCGCTGCGCCACGAGGTCGGCCACGCTCGCCCGCAGCAGGGGGCAGCCGACGTCCTCGAAGACCCACACGGAAGGCCCACCCCCGGGGGAGCAGCCGGCGCCCTCGAAGACCACGCCGAGGCCGCGGAGCAGCGCGAGAACGGGGCGGCCTTCGGGGGCCGCTGCGCCGTGAGGCGTTGATGTTGAGGATGAGGCTGAGGATAAGGACGAGGAGGAGATGGAGGAGGAGGAGGAGGAGGAGGAGGAGGAGGAGGATGAGGATGTTGATGAGGATCAGGATGCTGATGAGGATGAGGATGAGGATGAGTATGAGGATGAGGATGAGGATGAGGCTGATGCTAATACTGACGCTGATGCTGATGCCGTAATGGTGATGATGCTGATGATGGTGATGATGATGATGATGATGATGATGACGATGGTGCTGATGGTGCTGATGATGCTAATGGTGCTGATAATGTGGATGATGATGGTGGTGATGATGATGCTGATTATGCGGATGATGATTACAATGATGGCGACGGTGGTGATGTTGATGTTGATGGTGCTGATGACGATGACGACAATGCTGATGATGGTAATGATGATAACGATGACGGCGATGATGATGATGATGATGCTGCTGATGATGATGATGATGATGATGCTGATGATGATGGTGGTGCTCATTATGCTGATGATGATGACAAATATGGCCATGATGATACTGATGATGCTGATGATGCTGCTGGTGATGATGGTGATGGTGATGGTGATGATGGTGATGGTGATGGTGATGGTGGTGATGTTAAAGATGATGATGACGAGGATGGTGATGATGAGGATGATGATAACGACGATGGTGATGACGATGAGGAGGAGGAGGAGCAGGAGGAGGAGGAGGAGGGTGATGATGATGCTGATTGTGAGGATGACGATGACTATGATGAGGAGGAGGAGGCTGAGGGTGATGAGGGCGATGAAGATGATGATGAGGATGATGCTGACGATAGTGATGATGATGCTGATACTGATGATGATTATTATGATGATGACGATGCTGACGATGATGGTGGTGATGACGATGATGATGATGATGATGATGATGATGAGGAGGAGGAGGAGGATGATGATGATCATGATGATGAGGATGATGAGGAGGAGGAGGATTAGGATGGTGATGGTCATGGTGATTGTGATGACGATGAGGAGGAGGAGGAGGAGGAGGGGCAGAAGGAGGCGCAGGAGGAGGAGGATGAGGATGACGATGAGGAGTCGGAGGAGGAGGAGGAGCACAGAAGCTCGTGTTCGCCCAACGCATAAAGAGGATAGGAGGAAGGACGGCGAAGAAGAAGGAAGAGGCGGAGGAACATCAGCAGCATCAGCAGCAGCAGGACGAGAGGGGTAAGATAGAGGGAGGATAAGGCAGATGACCAGAGTAAGGCCATGAACTATGTTACAGGTCCCCTCCTCGCAAGTCCTTGCAAGTATCCCTAGTCACTGCAGGAAGCGCCCCTTGAAGTATGAGCGACCCTCGGGCCTACCAATCAAGCGAGAGCCCCATTTTGGAAAGGAGCGGCCCTGCATCTTTCTAAATATGAGCAGCGCGTAAGCAAGACCAACAAATTTACGGAGGTGCCCAGTGAGAGCCCCGTTTGAAGAAGCCGCAATCCACCCGTGTAGATTCTGCACATCCCTGCCATATACGACATGGCGCGCCATAACAAACGTTGGGTAGCAATCAAGCGAGAACTTCATGCCGAAAAGGAAATGCATCCACGCGTGGATTCGGTACATATGTTTGAGCTGGTGGTGTGGAAAGTGAGGAAGTATTGATCGATGGTTCTATGGTTACAGACACTGGCCTTCATCCTTCGGACTGTTCAAACAGTTGAAGATGAATGCGCGCGGTGCCAGGGAGATCGTCACATTGCGAAGGCCTTACGGTCACTGCCGCCGAACCCTGAAGGACGACGACGACGACGGCGACAACTACGACGACGATGACGACGACGACGACTTCGGCGGCAACGACGACGACGACGACGACGACGACGACGACGACGACGACAACGACGACGACGGCGGCGGCGGCGGCGCTGGCGGCGGCGGCGGCGGCGGCGCTGGTGGCGACGACGACAACGACGACGCTGACGGTCTCGAGCCTTTCTTGGGGCTCTCTTGGGAGCCCCTTGGGCCCTGTTTGGGGGGTCTCTTGGGGGACTTTTTGGGAGGAAGCGTCGTGGTCACTTGGGGCCGCCTCGGATCGGCTTTGAGGCCGCTTGGAGGCATGTCGGAAAGTACGCAGCACCCCGCAGCAGCAGATAAGAGTGAGGAGGGTTCCTCCGGCGGGGGAGTCCGGGAGGAGGGGGTGTCCCCTTGCCCGCAGGGGGGAGGGGGGTGGAGAAGGGGGGTCTTGAGTTCCCCCTGTCCACAGCGGGGACCACCGCCCGGTCCTCCGTGTCCACGGGCGGCACTGGGGGGGAATGGGAGGGAGGGGGAGGGCCTTGAGCTGCCCCTGTGGAGGACCAGCCTTTTTTCCTTCCTGTCGACAGGGGGCACCACCCCCTTTTCCCCCCTGTCCACATTCAAAGGGGATCCAGGGGAGAAGATCGGGAGATTCCCCTTGTCCACAGGGGACCACCCCTGAGGACCCCCCCCGAGGGATGGCATTCTGACCCACGACCCCCCCAGAACCCCACCTCAACGTTCCCCCCTGGGACCCGCCCCCCTCCCCCACCCGCGGGAAAGGGATCAAAGGAGAGGAGGTTGTCTTCCAGTCGAGTACGACGTTGCTGAGTTTCGCTTTTTGGCTGACGGCGGCGACGCCGACGAGTCGAACGAAACAGCTTCTCACACATGCCGACAGGATCGACGGATTTGAAGATGGGTCGCGATCCGTCCTTGTAGCGTTTAGATGAGTGCGCATGGCGGTTGATCAACAATCACAGTTTGAAGAAACGTGGCGCCATCCATGCTAGTAGTTGCTGGGAGAGCTTGAAATGTATTGGCGCGGCGCTAAGGAGAACTGTCATGTTCTACGGGGGACCGCCCTTCCTTATAGTTTCTATGAAATTCTGCACGGCGTTAAGGCAAGAGTCACACAATGGAAATTGGCCACCTTACATCTTCGCTGCTGTTGGAGATATCAAACCTCCGCGTCGTAAGCGGAGAGGATGTTCCAGGGAAAACGTCCATCCTGTTTTACCGACACATTTGTTGGTGCCTCGGCGAGGAGTTATCGAGTAGCCTTCGGTATATCCCGCCACCGTGCTAGGGTTGTGGGTCAGAGGCTTCTTGGATGTATATTGGGGCATCTTGGGATGTTTTCGGGGGCATCTTGAAGCCTCTTGGGGGGCATCTCGGGAGGCCTGTTGGAGGCGCCTCGGGGGCCTGGGGGGGGTCTTGGGGCCACCTTGGGGTGGAGGGCTCCACAAGTCATTTCGTGTTCCCCCCCTGGTGGCCGTCTTGGGGGCCTCTTGGGCTCGTCTTGGAGGCCTCCTGGACCTTGTTGGGCAGTCTTTGGTGCCTCTTGGGCCGCCTTGGGGCGGTCTTGGGGGCCCCGGCCATCTAGGCGCGCTGGAAGCCTGGAAAGGTGAGAATTCCCAAATCTTCTAAAGACCTAGCTAGTATCACTTAGTTTTGCCTTTTGGAGCACTCTCGGTGGGTCTCTTGGAGCTCTTTTGGGATGTCTTGGGGGCCTCTTAGGCCGTATGGAGGCAATCTTGGGGCGTCTTGGGCGCTCTTGACTCGTCTCTTCTTGTACCGTTTGGGAGGCCTCTGGCCGTTTGGGGCATCCTGGCTTAGAGAGCAGTCACGCGACAAGCACCAGAAGTCACGCGAGGACAAGGACCTGAGGACACCCCACGTCGTGCATCGAAGCGCGCTGGCAGAAGAGGGGCAGAGGGGGCTGGAGCATGAAGAAGAGGAATTGCCAGGCGGTCCGATGCAGCGGCAACTTCGGTGACGATGTGGACTTCAAGGTTAGTGAGGCCCCCGCGGGCTACAAGCGTTTTCCGAAGCTCAGTTGCCGGCCGACATCGCACGTGGTGGAGCTCGGCGTCGACGGTGAACACGTCCGCCCGGGTAGGGGCGCCCGCCATTTGAGCCCGTTGGAGTGGCACCAGATGCTTGCAGAGGGCGGAAGCGAAGATACAGTTCTCTTGGACACACGCAACGTCTACGAGTCCCGCATCGGCAGGTTCGAGGGCCACGGCGTCGAGACCATCGAGGTGAACACCCAGCACTTTGCGCAGTTCCCGGAGTTCGTGGACAGGAACCCGGAGACTCAAAGCTTTGTGAATGCCGCGCCCTATAGGCACGCGACGTCGAGTGCGCTTGCATGGCGTGCCTTCTGGGGTCGCCACTCCCCTCGTCCGTCACATCCACAGATCCCGGTGTGCCCTCCTCGCCCTCTTCAGCCTCTTCCTCCTGCCCAGGAACCTGGAGAGGCTGTCAGGGAAGCGCGTGATGATGTACTGCACCGGGGGCGTCCGCTGCGAGACCGCATCGAGCTACCTGCTCTCCAAGGTGGCAGCGGCCGAGGCGGGGATCGAGGAGCGAGGCTCGTTTAGCCCGAGGCTCGATGTGTTTAGACATTTTTGGACCGACGGTCGAACTTGTTTGGGGTCGAGAACATGATTCAGTTGTTTGGCGATTCTGGCTTCGTTCTGGGCTTCGAGAGAGCTCGGGAGTTCTCCTCCTCCATCTCCTCATCCTCGTCGTCTTTTTCTGGCCGAGCTCATGATTTCCGGCGCACTGCAGCACGCGCTATGTGGATCGTCGGCTAGAGGGGCCATTGGCCACGGGGGAAGTCGAGTGGAGTCCTCTGCCCGAGGTCGTGCAGCTGAAGGGGGGCATATGCCGCTACCTGGAGCAATTCAGGGACCGACCGCAGGAGGGTTTCTTTCGCGGCAAGAACTTCGTCTTCGACTCGAGGCGCTACGAGCCCACGCACGACGGCTGCGTGACTGGGCGGTGCGACGGTTGCGGTTCGCCGTGGGACGACTACGACAATGGACCGGAGGCGTACTCCTCCGAGAGCCCCCTCTTCCTTCTCCCTTCGGATCCCACTGCCACTGATCATGCCAAAGGTTTCTTTCATGCGTCTGCCTCGGGAAGCCATTTTTGTGGGCCCCGCGGCCGTCAACAGAAAGTAGCCAGGCTGAAACGCGGGCCCATGTCACGGAATTGCATTCGTCGGATCTTTGGGGTCCTCTCTCATTTGTTTGTTTCGTTGTTCTCTCTCTCTCTCTCTCTCGTTCCCTCTCTCTCTGTATCTCCCTTTCTCTTTTTTTCTCTCTCTCTCTCTCTCTCTCGCTCTCTCTCTCTCTCTCTCTCTCTCTCTCTATATATATACATATGTGTATACACATATACATGCACGTATGTATGCGCATGTGTTAACATATGATGTCTCTGTCTCTCTCTCTCTCTCTCCTGTTGTCTCTCTCTCTCTCTCTCTCTCCCTCTCTCTCTCTCTCGTTCTCTCTTCGTATATTTCTCTTTCTCTCTCTCTCTCTTTCTCTTTCTTTTTATTTTTCCCCATATATGTGTATCAGAGGGTGGGGGGTGTGAACGGAAGTGGCCCCAACCGGAAAACGGTTTCGGTGTCGCTTTCGGTTCGTGTTGTACGTGCGGGCGAGACGGAGCTGCGCGAGTTCCTGCACTGGTAGAAGCCACCTGGAGCCCAAAGGGCCGCCCCCGCCCCCAGCGCGGGCGCGTGTCCCGTGGTTGTCCCGCGGTTGTCCCGTGGTTGTCTCGCGGTTGTCCCGTGGTTGTCCCGTGGTTGTCCCGATGGTTGTCCTGCGGTTGTCCCGTGGTTGTCCCGATGGTTGTCCCGATGGTTGTCCCGACGGTTGTCCCCATGGTTGTCCCGATGGTTGTCCCGATGGTTGACCCGATGGTTGTCCCGATGGTTGTCCCGATGGTTGACTCGATGGTTGTCCCGATGGGTGTCCCGATGGGTGTCCCCGTGGGTGTCCCGAAGGTTGTCCCAGATAGACGGATACACAGACACCATTAGCACCGCCACCACCACCATCATTCCAAAGACATGTTTGTACCCAGGCCGCTTCGCCATGCAGAGGGCTGCCAGCATCGACGCCGCAACAACATGTCGCCGTAGAGTGGGCCGCGCCAACTCACAGCGCCAGGCTCTGCCAGCGCCGGGCCATACCCTGGCTCACGCTTGGTGAAGCTGCGCTACTCGTACAGCGTGATCTCGCGCGCTGGGCTCGCAGAACTCGGCCCCGCCCACGTGATGACGGGCGAGCAGCTGTTCCAAGCTCTTAAGAAAGTTCCGGGCGTGAGGCGCGTCGACTGGTACACGCCGAATACCTTGCAGGGGGAGATCGGTAAGCACGAGCAAGCTCGATGCTCGTTCTGGGGACCTTCCTGGGGCCCACGTAACGGATCTATCCGACTCAGGTTCGACGCAGCTTCGACGCAGCTTCGACTCAGGTTCGACTCAGATTCGACTCAGATTCGACGCAGCTTCGACGCAGGTTCGACTCAGGTTCGACTCAGGTTCGACTCAGGTTCGACGCAGCTTCGACGCACGAGTGGAACGAGTGGCTCCAGGAAGGTCCCCAGAAGGAGCATCTAAAGCAGGAGATCAATTGCCTGGTCTACTCAAAGCACGGCGACCTGATCAGGCCTTCCGAGTTTGAGGCGGCTCGGAACCAGCATTCGAAGGACAGGAGCTTGCCTTACACAGCGACGGCGATGTCCAAGGACCCGCCGAATAACATGGGTGCGGAGGCATGTCGTATTTTGCGCGCACTTGTTAAAAGCAAGGAGCTGTTGCCAGAGGTCGTGCGCCAGTGCATGATAGACAGCTTGGCGCGGCTTGGCCATGCTTCAGGCTCTGCCAGCGCATCTGCTTCACAGGGCGCGGCGGCTGGCGCGGAGGCCGCGCAGGGTGCCAGGCCGCGCCGCAGGGCGCAGGGGCCTGCAGAAGAAGGTGCAGGCGCGCGCGGCTCTGCGAGCAAGCCGGCGGCACTTGGGGCGGCTGTTCCAGGCTCTGCCAGCCCAGCCCAGGGCGCAGGAACACCGCCGCAGGTTTCGCAGTCGGAGCTGCGCCCGCCATTCTTCGCCGCGGGGGTTGCGGCGCGGTCGGTTCCGTCGGCTCCGCCGGCCGCGCGCCTTCGGCTCCGTCGGCCCCGGGGGCGCGCGCCCCTGCAGACGCTGCCCTTCCACTCCCTGCGCCAGATGCGGGGCCAGCGCCGGCGCGCCCGCCGCCCTCTCTCGAGGCCGCCCGCCGCCCTCTCTCGAGGCCGACGCGAAGTCGGTTTCGAAGAAGAGCAAGACCAGCCAGCCGACAGCGCAGAACGCGCAGGG